CAGGTTCTAAACTTGCATACATTGGAAATCTAATTAGTGAATATTCCGCCTCCTCAGATTAAATTAAGCCATGCTTTGATTTACTTTACTCTGACGCTTGGCTAATGCATCATCAGACAGCTACTGACCAGTCGGGTGAAAAATGTGCATAGTCGTGGGCGGTGGCGTAAAAATAGGCCCATCCATTTGCCTGAATTTTTTTAAACTGATGATGTGTGCTATCGATGAGATGGATGACAGTGACCTGATACACAGAGTGAAATTTTCTGAGAGTCGTTTACGGAGCGCCAACCTGACAGGTCGAGAACAACCACTTTGAAGACGAATCTTTGTGGCATTACGTTGCCAAAAAGCCAACAAGTTGATTGGAAAGACACTTTTTAGGCATTTCCACAGTCAACTTCATCATCTCTTTAATTAACTCCCATCAAGCCCCTGTGGGATGCGTGCACAGCAACACCACATATTGGTAAAGCGATAGACTAGCCCCAATTCAGAGAAATGAATCACCCAGCTGGTGAACTACCAGTGAAAGGAAGAAGGCCTTCGCTGCGGAGTTATTTATTCGGAAATGCCAACTGACCGGTTACAGATCATTGAACAGGGAAGCAAAACTCTAATCTGCATCTTAGTTACAAAAACTGGACACCGATCTTCTCTCGAACGAGTCTTCTTGAACTTTCCTGGAGATTCATTGACTCCATTCATTCGTCGGTCAAATCCAAGCAAATGTTACAAAGTGGCTCCACGAATTCCGCAACAGATCTCCCTTTTTCAATAGACGCAAAGCGAAATTCTTTGAACAACACATACTACTCGCGTGCCTCCCCATCAGTAGTATCGCCGTTACACCAGTACAGTGCAGTTCATTCTGATCGCAGTCTCAACCCTAAGTCGCCGTCTCCTAATCGATTTTCTCCCACAGCATGTCCATTTTAAAAGCGACTGAGATATCGACCGATTCGACATCATCTCACGTTAGATAGCTAAATGTGACCAACCGAATTCGCCTCACAGCAGGTTAATTCATTCACCTGACACATGGAAAGTGAATAATGTGCCAATTGACCTGTCTTGGACCGTGTTCAGATGCATTATCAAGGTAGGGTCTTGGAAGCACGTTTCGGAGACACAGAGGAAAGGATGGTGCTGATCTACTTGTCATGGAGCGCGGACGTTAGTGATGCATGTTTACTTTTTCTGGGAATGGACGTTGAATTTTTATAGGGCCACAAACAGATGGAGATGTATTGGCGTGGTAACTTGGGTGCATTATCCGTTGCTTCAATACTGTGTGGGTAGATTCCCAAAGTTGGCGCGGGGGGGGGGGGGGGGTTCCTTGAAACAACCCACCTTGCGCTTCTGACCCAGAAGTCTGTGTTCTGAGGCAGTTGGAGAGATTCGTTAAAACATCTTGCGTAGGATTTGGCCGTATTACAGGAATACGTCTTGTGTGTTAGAGTGCGCTGTTGTTGACGATAAATTCACTGACACGTTAAATACTGCTGGTGAACACTGCTCAACTCCGAATAGCTATTGACTGTGAGTGGTGCTCCGGTTGTTGTAAATCCGTCATTGTAACAGACGATTAGTTGAATGCCATCTTTTGTCAGCCGTTCACGACATGTTTATTTCGCATAAACGTCAACCAATGAAAAGTTTCAATCCATAATCGCGTTGCATCATCCCACCAAACTTGCAGTAAACTTGTCAATTTTTTGGTTCACAGATTCCCGCATGAGATTAATCTTGGAGACATGTCCGCCGAAATGATGTGGGACTATCTCTCAGCAGACTTATCCGCCGACTTGATACAACATTCCATCACAGCAAGGACCTTGATGGAGTCGGGCGAACTGGTCAATACACCTCCACCACAAACTCAGTCTCGTCTCGGTCGGTTTAGGAAGGCTGAGACCAAATCGAGTCCAGGAAAAAAACATCGAATCAAGTCATCGGATTACATGAATCTGTGTTTCCGAGTCAAGTGGTTCTACAATTCTTACGTTGCCAACTTACCTCACTGTAAAACCAAGATACCAGAATATCCAAAGTAAGTGACCTTTTCACCTGAAAACTACTCACTCCTGTCCTTTCTTGCACCGTTAATCAATCCGATTGGTCGCACTTTAGGTGAGACCTGGACTGTGAAAGTCTGCTCTAAAGTCTGATGGAAACATGTTGAGATCACGTGATTAAAAATCAATACTCGAGTGAAGCACTTTTGAGCGTCAGGGACATATTTAGCTTACCAAGACAGCATATTCTTAAGGTTGACTAAACTATCCAGATATATATATTGGTTTCAACTGTGTCCCAATCAATACAAGCCAGGGGCTGATTATTAATGGGTGTTTTTTCGTCTGTTTTGATAACTTCATCAGTCGGATTTGGTTATATTTTCCTCCAATGGCCGACTTATTGATTGCGAGCGTCGGTAAAATTGTCATCCTGGCAGGCTTATCCGTCACGTTCGGCTGATTCTGTTTTCAAACAGTGTTTTCTAGGGGCATGCTGGAGGGAAAGGGGTGGGGTTAGCGGTGTTCGGTTTTGCTATGAATAATACATGGCGGCTTTCTTTTCCTCTTTCAGAATTGTTCACTGTGTTTGGCAACTTATCGTAGTTTGTTCATTAGGGGACTTTCCAGAGAGGGGTGCTTTGTTGGAGAGACGCTCTCCTTCGGTCACCGTTTATTGAATCGTTTGCTTTTTAGGATATGCCACTCCTCATAAAGTCCATTCCCGACTAGTATCATACCTCAGTTGCCTTGATTCTGAACCATCCCGTCAGAAGAAACGGTCTTTCTGTCGATCAAATGCAACTGACTCTCTGTCCTTATTGTAGGTGGTTTGAAAGCTTGGTGATGTTGTGGCTAACGGAGAACGACGATGTGTCGGCCAACTACTTGCGCAACGCATACGAACGTGACAAACAGGATGGATTTCAATGTTCCAGCGAACATGTTCTCTATTCCAACTCGGTCGTGGACGTGTTCACCCAACTGAATCAGTGCTTTGATGTGATTCGCAAACTGGAATGTCCAGACACTGAAGTGGAGGGACACTTTTTGCACCGGTTTTCTTTGGTAAGTAGTCTGTAAGACTGGAAAAATTCATCGTAGTATGGTTTAAATTGCATCTGGGCCTATATAACTCTGTCTGGGCCCATCACATCCGGTCAGGGAAGAGGTAAACTTTCTTCAGAGAGTGTATTTGGAACCTCTCATTCTACATAATTTATTGTGAGCACAAGTCAGTTCCCTAGAGGGAATCACCACTTGTTGTTAGTGTGTTAGTAGGGGTCTTTTTTGATGCGCACAAGCCCTTGTGACATCAGCAGTGAAAGAAACATTCAAGTAAATAGGTTGGGAAGTATCATGAGTTCTGATTGGCCGACACGTAACCTTGAAACGTAAGGTGACCTTGAAACTGATTTTCAAAATTGTGGGTACATGTGGTGTTAGTCGCGGGTCAGCATCGGACGGCGGCCCAAATGGTGTTACGCAAACGAATATTGCTGCAATAGTGACCTTCACAAACAACCACAAAACCAGTCGAATGTTAATAATGCGTCTAAAATCGATTCAGTATTTAAACACGCTTGTACCGTTTTTGTAATTTGATGGACTGTGGGAAACGTTGCCGCTAAAAACAACCAACCACACGCGTGTTTTGGCTCCGAAATGGACATTAACTTGACTTCGAAAGCATACTACTCATATGGCTGCGGAAGGCTCTTCGAGAGCCTGCAACTGGTCTCGAAATTTTTGGAGTACATCAAGTAATCACAGCTCTAGGGTTCTGACTGCATCCAGATTGGCCGTAGTTCGCGAACTACACTCATTTGCACACACATTTTAGTTTTACCAGAAAATTCAATCGAATCTCAGCTGGGACCCCGGTTTATGATATTCTTCAACTGAATGAGCTACAATAAGGCCAGCTCACATTCTGACTGGTACGCTATTCGAGATATCGCAGTGTGACTTCCGGATAGGACACCACACAACCGTGGTGCCTTACAAACACGGTGAATACTTGTACAGACTTAACACACTTGAAAAAACATCATAAACGAGAGATTCAGCTGGGTTCCATGCGAGTCTCTCGTCAAAACCAAATCGGTATGCAAATTAGTGTATTTCTCTGACGCTGAATACTTCCTTGGTTGCTTTCTCGAAACTGTGAAAAAACCATTGTGTCATCCTTATTGGGGATTACCAACAATGCATGTCTCAAGAAACCCCGGGGAGCTTCGAACCCGTGACCTCTTGGTTATTCGTTTAAACACAACTGTTCGGTCATGGGTATCTGTGTAACTCGGTCACAGATACGATACAGTACCACTTAGCCTTCAATCACGTGAACCACATCCCGTGGTGAGGCGTTAACGGGCTCCTCGAGTGACGGTTGCCGATTCGCACTGAGGACAACTCTTGTTGACAGAAGGTACACACAGTTCGTTGTGAACTCATTGCAACCTATTCTTCCCGCATTTGTCCCTAATGTGTACCCCGTCTCCGAAATGAGCAGTTGTCAGTGCGGTCACAAAGCCATGTTTAAGGAAACAATCAGACAGTATGACCGGAATTCCAGGCGGCAACGGGCTTGTATTTTTTGTGGTCTCATCCGCGAACCCAACGAGCAAAACCTTCGATTTATTCGACCACCCTTGCTTTCCTTTTTTTCAGACGGTTGAAAAAGTCCTACTGGCCTACACAGATCGCGTCCTGGTGGACTTTCCCAGCTACAAATCGGACCAACGGGTGGCTTGTATTTTGGTTAATAACACGCAGCAACTCAGGGTTCAACTCGAGAAAGTCTACGAAAATATGGCCCGAGAGAGGTGAGCTCGATCTCGTGCTAGTATGAACACTTTGCATGTTTAAGGACTTTTCGCGCTACATTTCGTGTCTTCAACCTTGTTAATAACACGCAGCAACTCAGGGTTCAACTCGAGAAAGTCTACGAAAATATGGCCCGAGAGAGGTGAGCTCGATCTCGTGCTAGTATGAACACTTTGCATGTTTAAGGACTTTTCGCGCTACATCTCATATCTGCAACCTTATCAACCTGACCGGTATTATGGTACCCAGCACCAGTTTAAAAAGTCATGTACAAAAAACTGTTTGTGCACTCAAAAACTACACCCAAGTATGATCAGACAGGGTTGTAAACTGTTCCAGACAAGACCGGTGTCTGGTTTTTATTCGAGTTCCTTCCCCCCCCCCCCAGGGAGACCTACGACTTCTTTATAGTATTCCATGTTTACTTAGTTAATGTAATATAATTTTATGAGATGCAACATCACTTATAGCACTAAAACTCAACCGATGGACCATGTGAAACCTGCCCAGAGAGCATAAGAGCAATGAGAGAACAATCGTCTGATGGAGAGCGAGGGACTCAACAGAACTTCACCCACCATTGGTTCGAATATTTCGACAATGAACAACAAGGATTTTACAAACACATCATCTTTTTGTCATCACGCCATACTTTAGCTAACGCCCATATCCATCGCTTGTTCAACGATTCGGTTTCCGGTCACAGTACAGCTAAAAGAGGCCGGGTGGAAAAGTAATCTACTGAGTTTCGTCCTGACTCATTAGACATATGAAGTTGGGTTGTTCAGTTTCACGTCACTCTCGTTTCGAACAGTCGTCCTCCTGTCCTGGCGCGATTGTTGATGTGAATCCACAGCAAAGCGGGGGAGCACTGGACTCGAGTTTCACTCTTGTTAGAGCTCATCAGCAGTGCATATCCAATGGCCGTGCCGGGGTTTGAACTCCGGACACCTGACATGCGGTTGCCATTAGAGACATACTTCCTGCTCAGCGTGTTGAGTTGATTCGGCCGAGAATGCAATCCAATCAGACTGATTTAGAAGTCGTTGCCAGAGCTTTCAGAAATTACTTCGTGTTCTGCTGTCTGTTACACAGCAACTTGTCCTTCAGGCGAAGTGTCAGTTACGCCATGAACTCCGTTTTCCCAAATCATCCCGGGGTAAATCACCAGCGAAAACCGATATATTGCGTGAATAATTTCACTGGAGGCTTGCATGGTGATAACTCCCAGCGACAAGCATCCTAGACGTCACAAGTGAGGATGTACGATTGACTCTTTCGTAGCCTAAATGATACCATAGGCCGAGAGTGATGTGAAACTCAACAATATACCTCCCGCAAAACCCCCACATAAAGTTGGATTGATTGCCTGGGGTTCCTGTTCGAATTTCGCACTCAACACCACATGACAGCCGACCTTTCATAGGTGCATGAGTTGTATGGAATCACCTGGTTTATTTGGATTAGTCTCTGCGTTCATTTTTCACGAATTTTTTCTCAAGTATTTACAACCCTCTCAGGGGATACTCACAAAATCGGGGGGCTCCGAGTTTCCAATGGTAATTATAAAGTGGGAGCAACCAACCTTGGAAAATCAATACACTATGCTTTCCGTATTGATCGAAACTCATGAAGTGGGTGAAGCATAATCGTCCGTCCGATGTACACTTGTGCTCAAACAAACGGGATCTAGGTACCTGATGTGGTCAAACCCAATTTACCTTTTTGCATTTGAGGAAGCTATATGATGGTTGAGCCGTTTATTGATTTTGGTATCTTCGTTGCCAACCTTTCGCCACTAATCGAGTTGATATCACCAGTACGTATTGGGGTCAGTGCCTACACAGCTGGACAGCGCTACGCATTGATGAGCCATCTCCATTGGTAAGGAAATTTTCGCAAGAGAATTGTTAAGCTCAGTGTACTACAGAACCGCCAACTAAACTGCCAACCTTGTACATCCTGGATTTGGACTGTGCCCAAACAAGTCAGGCGGGAGGAATTTGGTCGCGCATACACTCGGGTACGCGAATGAGACCTCAGTCTGTTGTTACATTGCAAATTTCTCCTGAAACCTAAACAGCTGTTCCCGCTTTGTCGTTCATTTGTTAGCCTGGAAAAGCGGACCAATGACCGACTGACTGCACTTCAAGGTCGTTTAAACGAGGCCGTGGACAAGCTGGTCAGTCAGCTGACGGACGAGTTTGAACCGGGAGTACGGACGCACGTGCGCGAATGTGGAAAGCTTTTGCAGAAAGTAAGCTTGCGTACTTGACACTTACGTAGCCGGCTTTCGTTTTTCTCAGTGAACGCTGTTTACACATGGTGCCATCTCATATGAGACCTCCTTAGTGCTAGCTTACCACCATTATGCCGAGGGGCCTACACCTCCAGACATTCACTCAGGCAATCTGGACAGAAACTCACAACAAGAACGCCACTGACATCGGTTGGCAGCCATATCTTGTAGTGTCTCCAACCAGGCACAGTGAGGATCACGCGGTCCCCATCCTGGAAGACGAGTAGCACCGACAGCACCCAAGCGTTTCGTGATCTCCTTCATACTCCTCTGCCAGGTCATGGGTTGGCCACCTCTCTGCTTACGCCACTCTGATTTGGGCATGCAAAGCAGCACTCTCTTCGGCAAACGATGGTTCGGCATACGCAACACATGTCCCAACCAACACAGCTTCTGGTGCTAGAAACATTCATCAATGGAAGTACCCGTTGCACAACCAAAAACTCGCTTTCTAATTGCCTCGTTACGGATTAGCCGACACCAACCCATAGGAGCTACGGTCCTTAGTCAACGACTGTCGAACACCTGAAGACGTCTCAGTTCCGCTGCTCGAATAGGCCAAGTCTCACAGCCATACAGCAAAACAGCCCGCACTGTAGCTTGATGCACACGTCCCTTGAGATTCAGAGATAAACCACTCTGATGCCATTGGTGCCTAAAATTAGCAAGCGTGACTCGAGCCTCGCAGATTCGTTCATTCAACTCATCTGTCAAGCTACAATTAGAACTAATACAATTTCCGAGATATGAAGAAGGCTCCACAACTTCCAGTACCTCTCCCTGGATTGTAAATGGCGTGTTCAGTGACTGCACGTCTTTGAGCACAACCTTACACTTTGTGGGTGCAAAGTGCGTACCAAAGGATGGGATGACTCTAATAACTGAGGGTACTGATACTTTGGACTGTGGAGTCTTGACAGAAGCTATGAAATCAAGGTTGAGGTACTCCAAGATGGTTTAGTTGCTAAAATATCTTCAAGCCTGCCCACTCGGTAGTTCGTCAAAAACTCTTCCGTGCACCCTCGACGGTAAGACCCGATGAAAAGACTGGTGCTCCAATAACGTACCATCATGTCGATTTATTCGAATAAAGCCTCATAATGAAATGAACCCGAATGGTTACTGTGGCAACCTCTGGGGTATATTATGCTGTTCTCCCTTCCGGCGAGATGCCTTCATAAGATTAGAGTCCTTCCGGCTTTTGCACATGAGCATCCTCTATCACAAAACTCACTGTTGTATCCACGACATTCTTACTATTTAAAAAATTCACAAGCAACCAATGTGAGGAAGTCACCTTATTTTAGTTCCTAAATACCTGACCGGCCTGGTAACCAAAACGCTTTCAACTGCACTAGTCCCTGTTGTTCTTTCCACCTGTGTTATCCTTTCCAGTGCAAACCAAGTTACGGACATGTCTCGGGTGGTCGTATGAGCAAGGAAGATGAAGCAAACGAGTGTTTGAGGCCACTCATGGACCATTTCGAATCGATACTGTCCGTGCTGGCCACCACGTGTGACAAGACAGTGCTCAAACGAGTCTTAAAGGTAGGTACTTACCGGTAGGGTCTTGACAAGTAGCCATATCTGTCGGTGTGTACGATGATCGTTGGTTTATTTTCTGAGCTGAACAATTTGGTTGCAAACGTTTCATTATCAGTCGAGGAGCGAACAGATAAGCGACTATCAGTACAACCTGAGCTACCAAAATTCTTTTGATTCGTTTCCAAAATTGACTTGACTCAGTTGAAGGGGCAATCACTGTGATCTCTCAAATTCTACTTGTATGCGGTACTAATCAATATCACATCACTGCTCGCAACGAATTCATCTTCACTATTTTTTTACCAAAAAACTAACGTCTCACTGGCGGGAACCATCTCCAAACCTGGTTTCAGTTCACATCAAACCGT